GATTTCGTGCGAGGTCACACCTTTTCCCTGCGGGTCGTTCAGGGCCGCGGAAATGATCGCCGGGCCTTGCGCGAAGTCGGCATCGAAGTGAATTTCCCACGAGAGCACCTCGCAAAGCAAACCGTTATCGAGCACGTCCATGAGTTCTGTGAACTTCGGTGCGCGACGCATCTTTGGGATATCCCAGGAGCCACCTGGACCTGTCTGGAACTCCTCCAAACCACATCCTTTGTGTTCTTCGGGAATGACCCACACTGCGCCGTGCTTGAGGCTCAGCAGACCAAGGGTTAGCGTGCAGTGGCTCAGCGCCCCGTAGTTGAACGTTGACAAGCTTGTGTGCGCCGAGCGTAGAGCCTCCACGGACTCCGTTTTCTGCTTCTTGTGGTCCGCGTGCGCCGTGTACGGCTTGCCATGGAGGCGCTCGGAATCGGCCTTCTTCCCGGCAGGGAGTTCCTGAACAACCACTGCTTCGTGCTGCGCCTCGTTCTGGAGGAACCTGTCTTTCAGAATCCCACACAGGAGATTAACCACTCTGGCAGCGGAGGGGCACGTCCCACCCCTGTTCTGCGGGTGGACGCTGATATCCTCCAAGGAGATCTTGGCCTTCAGCCGCTGCCCCTCGGAGTCCTTCAAGGCATAGCGGCTGCGCAACATGGCGGCATCATTCAGGGGGCCTGACTTGATGTCCTCGGACATCTATCCAGGGGCCCCCGCTGCTGCGGGGGCAGCTTCCAAAACAGATGCTCCGCGATGGTTGCCCCCGCTGCTGCGGGGCCCCGCATGAAGCACGAGTACCTGTCGCGCGCGCGGACAGGAGGAGGGGCCCCACGGATCCGCGGCCTGCCCGCACTTGAGCAAAAGGAGAAGGACAGGAAAGGCAGAGAGAGGGAGAGAGAGAGAGAGAGAGAGAGAGAGAGAGAGAGAGAGAGAGAGAGAGAGAGAGAGAGAGGCGACGAACGGCGGGTCGACGCGGCCTTCTCAGTTTTTCGATGCGCGCACATCCGCCTGAACAGGAGAATCATTGATACATCGGACCCCCCTCTGTGAGAGAAAGGTTTCCCGCCCCGAACCCATCTGTGAGAGAAGGGGTCGCTGTGTGAGTTGCGTGAATGGAAGCGATGGACAGGACAAAGAAATAATGGCGGGCGGGGGATTGCAGGAGGGAGCGCAAGGGGAAGCAAAGCAAAGGAGAGGGCAGGACGCAGACGACAGCACAGATGTCACTTTTTTTTCGCACCGCATGCGATGCCGCACGCGACGCGCGAAACCGCGCTCCCCCGCGCGCGCGCGAGTCCGCCCCTCCGCCGAGGTCACCCCCCCTCCGCGTGAGACATCCCTCCGCTGCTGCGGAGGGGCGCTCCCCTTGTGCGCTCGGGATGTCGCGGTCATCCTGAGGGCCGTGCAGTCAACCAGACGGGGGCGCCGTCGTGTTCATCCGCCCCGTAATTACATCCGAAGGGGCTCGACGCCTTCTTGCCAGGAGCTGCCGACTGGCGGCATCTTGGACCCTAGTTTGTACCAGTTGCCCGAATGGTCGCGGTACCAGAGTGCCTGATCGAATTGATCGTCCTCTTCCACGCCTGTCCTCCGAGCAGTCTTCTCATCCCACACGCTCCAGGACAGCAGCCCCCGCTGCTGCGAGGGCTTGTTTCTTGGAGCTCCCCCTGCGCCGAGCAAGCGGCCGCGCGGCCGCCTTCGCCGACGCTGCCGTGGGTCGAGCCGCCGCCCCAGCGCGCTTGCTCGAATGAGGTCTGTGGTCCGGTTTCCGAGATGCCCTCTTCTCGCCGACGCGGCATCGCCCCGTCCTTGTGTCGGGCTTCCTATAAAGGCATTTCTTGCCAGAGGGTTGTTAAATAATTTGTTGAGGGTTGCTTCGTTTTCGGCCGACCTGAGCGCGTGACAGGGAGGGGGGGGGGGGCGGCGGCGAGGGGGAAGTGGGGGGGGGCCGCATATGCAACCACACAAAACATCAAATGGCCAGCACCCTAGCCAGCCAGCGCTGCTGGCTTATGCCAGGATACACATATGGTGGTGGAGTTGGGCTGGTGGCGGTGATTGGTGGTGGTGGTGGTGGTGTCGTAGTGGTGGCGCAAAATGCGGTTGTGGTGGTGGTGGTGGTCCAAAGGGTAGTTGAGGCGTGGTGGTCGTAGTGCGTGTGATAATTGTGGAGGCTGGATGTGGTTTTTGTGCTTTGAGTCTCTATGTGCCACTTCATGGATGCTCGCATGTTTTTGCATGCCCTTGCGTGCGCGCGATGTGTGTGTGTGTGCCAAGCCATCAAAGGGAGTTCTATGTGCAAGTGTGAGCCCCACTATAAATATCAATACCGATATATATATATATATACATTAATATAAGTATACACCGAAAAGACCACCCTTCGGGTGACAAGGAGATTGGGGGGGAAAAGGGGAGACGGTAGATCTGCGATGGCTCTGGGTTTCTCTTGGTTTCTTCACCTTCCTTAGTGTCGCGCACATGTGTCCATGCGTCTTTCGATGTATACGCATATATATATATAATTATATATATATATATTTATGAAACCTACTTTATTTGGCTATCTCTCTACGCATATATATATATACAACTATCGAATTGGCGATCTATTTGTTCATCTATGTTCTCATTTAGTTAACTACATTTATATAGATAAAAACTGTTCCACCCAAGTTCCACCAAGTGTATGTATGCAAACCCTGTCGACGAATTCACATTCAACGTTCGACATATATATACATATATATGTACAGGTGACTGACCCACCGATACCCAAGTATATATATATATACATATACCGGTACATAATGTATACGTGCATGTGTATATATAGAAGTATAATATCGAGTTTATTTGCTGAACGTCATGTCGATGTATACCACTATATGTATATGGCTATTTGTGTACCAAATTACCAAACTGTCAAATTGTAAATCGAGGCCCCAATCTTCATATCATATATACACAACAAATGACATATCTGAATCCGTATATCGCATTATCACTTTATTTATCCACCGATCGGCCGAATTATTTTTATCATTATATATATGTCTCAGTATATAACTACCTGTATAATTGAATATTGATCTATCTATACGTATCCATCCGTCTGTCCATCCATCGATCTATCCATCGGGACAACCATCGAGGCAACCATCGGAGCAACCATCGGGACCACCATGGGGACAACAATCGGGGCAACCATCGGGGGAACCATCGGGACAACCGTTGGGGCAACCGTTGGGGCAACCATCGGGGCAACCATCGGGACAACCGTCGGGACAACCATCGGGACAACCATCGGGACAGCCATCGGGACAACCATCGGGACAACCATCGGGACAACCATCAGGACAACCATCAGGACAACCGTGTGGACCACCATCGGGGCAGCCATCGGGACAACCATCAGGATAACCGTCTGAACAACTGTATGGACAACCTTATGGACAACCATCGGGACAGCCATCGGGACCTCCATCGGGACAACAATCGGGGCAAACATCGGGACAACCATCGGGACAACCATCGGGACAACCATCGGGACAACCATCGGGACTACAATCGGGACAACCATCGGGACTACCATCGGGACTACCATCGGGACAGCCATCGGGACAACCGCGGGACAACCAGGAGCCGCGCCCTGGAGAGGGGGAGGGGAGCCCAAATGGCCGTAGATGACCCTTACTGGTGACGGAACTCGCGCAGCTTCGCCTCGCCCACACGCGTGACACCAATTGAAACCGAACCCGATCTGTTGGTTAGGGTCTCTTCGTTCCACTTCGATCTCACCCCCCCCACCTCCGATGTATTGTGTTATACATGTAAGTAAATTTACTCCATGCTATATATATATATATATCAACATGTACAGATAACGTCCATGTGCATGCCGGATGTACACATATATACACATATACATACCTATGTATATACATTTACGTATACACATATGGCTATCACACTTGCTGGATTTCGTTATGTTTCACGCGCTGGAGCATCGCGATCGCATAATCAAGCGTTGCAGGCGCGCCATGGCGCACGCCCTGAAACTAGATGGCTAACCATCGGCGAGTGGAGTAGTCTGAAAATCTGCCGTCCAAAACGAGAGAGAGGGAGAGAAAGAAAGAGACACAGGAGGGATCAATTTGATATCAACCACTTGGGACTCTGAGGAGGGAAAGCTGAGAAAGCCAAAACTTCACGACAGGCAGCCAGCAAAAATTGTATGGATGCAAGTGTTCTGGCATCCACGGGTCGTGATATCATCAATGAGGCTCCGTAGTAGAGGTGCACAGTAGAGCCTGGCCGGGCTCCAAACTCACACCTGCCTTTAGGTACACAGCTGGCTTGACAGGCATCAGGCCCTTCTGACCCCACCTGACAACCCACAGAATGCCCAAGTTCTCACTCGACCACGTCGTGGCAGGCTCCTTGCAGCCCATGTTGCTCACAGACACCTCTGGGTTCGTCACAGAAGGCTCGAAGGCGACTTTGTGGGAGAGGTCCAGGGAGAAGAGCTTCGGGTTGTCCTCGTTGCGCACAATCTTGTGGTAGCAGATCTGGCAGTCTGGTTTGGTCTGGCGCTGCTCTTCGATGACCTTGCCAAGGGTCTGCGCTGTCTGGCCCAAGACCACCAGCGTCTTGTCGTCACGAAGGATGAATGGATATTGCTTATCAGTAGGATTGTCCTCGCCCTTGATCAGCTTGAAGCCGCCCTTCCCGAATTGGCACATCAGGGTGTTGGCCTGGAGCACCACCTTGGCAGTGGTCTTGTTCTGGAGGGTGATGGTGTGACCTGCGCGAATCTGGAGCGTAGCTGTGTCCTTGCCTGGGAGCTTCGCCTCCAGCAACAGGGCCTGCGTGATTGTGCTCGCGTCGACAATGTACTTATCGCTGGTACGGGGCTTCTTGGGACTTGGCTCCTCTTCCTCACCACCAGGCCGCTTGCCGGACTTCAGATCCATCTCCTGCACCTCATCAACAACTGCATATTACAGAGTCCATTTGTTGAGCCAATCCACGAACTCTGGACCGAAAGTGGGGTCGAATTGCCACTGCTTCACGATGCTCGCTGGAAGGAGCAAGCGATCCTTGTCCGCCCCCCCGATGATGAGCTTGTTGAGGCGCGGCTGCTGGGGGAATGGCTCGAGCAAGTCATCGCTGACCTTGGTGCTTGGCTGCGTGAAGCCTGGGATCTCCACCTTGCCTGCAAGCAATCCAGTCTCAATGGACTCCTGCACCGTGTGGAGCACCCAATCCATCTCCACCTGGTTGGCGCAACATCCAAAGAAGAAGAAGGGAGCATTGAATTGCTTCCTGTGCGAGACAAACGCTTCGAGGAAGTCCCCGGTACGAACATTCAAGTCCAGGATCAAGACTGCCTTGATGCCCTCCAGGTTGGCGCCGTCTGTCAAACTCTGCAGGAGGGCAACGCTGGCCTCCACACCCACCTGCTGAAACTTGGACGCTCCGTGGACATAGGAGCCCCGACCATCTGTGGATGGTGGCAACGAGTCTGCAGACAAGTCCTGTTGGATGCATTGGAGCAAAAAATTGCGGACGCTTCGCGAATCCCCACCAGCTCATCCAGAAACGATGCCCAGAGGAGTTGTCTGGATCAGGGAAGTGGGCAGCACACAGAGGAAGCCATTCTGAGACATCTTGGGATATCTTGAGCCATCTTGGAGGTCATCTTGGGTTCTCTCACGCGCTCTTGGAGTCATCTTAATCAGTGCTCCCCCCCAAGAGGCCAACATGTGGCTAAAACCTAAGTGCAATCAACGATTTGGCATTCTCGCCGAGGCCTCTTGGAGCATCTTTGGGGGGTCTCTTGGGGCCTCTTGGGGGTCTCTTGGGGGTCTCCTGGGGGCCTCTTGGGGGCCTCTTGGGGCCAACTTGGGGCTATCTTGGGACCTCTTGGGGCCTCCTGGGCGCTTCTTGGGGCCATCTTGGAGGAGATCGATCAAACAAGAGGGGAGCAGTAATCGGTGCCCCCCCCCCCAGGAGGTCAACATGGGGCCAACACCCTAGTAAAACCAATGATGTTGGCTTCCTCGCCGAGGCCGTTTTGGCATTCTCGCCCAGGCCTCTTGGAGCATCTTGGGTGCCTCTGGGGGGTCTCTTGGGGCCTCTTGGGGGTCTCTGGGGGGCCTCCTGGGGGCCTCTTGGGGGCCTCTTGGGGCCATCTTGGGGCCATCCTGGGACCTCCATCTTGGGACCTCCGTGGCGCTTCTTGGGGCCAGCTTGGAGAAGATCGATCAAACAAGAGGGGAGCAGTAATTATACTTAGCGCCCCCCCAGAAGGCCAAAATGGGGCCACCACCCTGGTAAAACCAATGAATTTGGCTTCCTCGCCGAGGCCGTTTTGGCATTCTCGCCGAGGTCTCTTGGAGCATCTTGGGTGCCTCTGGGGGGTCTCTTGGGGCCTCTTGGGGATCTCTTGGGGGCCTGGGGGCCTCTTGGGGCCATCTTGGGGCTATCTTGGGACCTCTCGGGGCCTCCCGGGCGCTTCTTGGGACAATATTGGAGGAGATCGATCAAACAAGAGGGGGGCGTCAATTAGCCCCCCCCCCAGGAGTCCAAAATGGGGCCACAACCCTAAAAACGTCAATGACTTTGGCTTCCTCGCCGAGGCCGTTTTGGACGCCCTGGCAACTCGCGACCCCCCCCCCTCCAGGTCCATGAGGAGGGGGTAGGGGGAGGGGTAAACCCCTCCCCGAAGGGGAAGAAGGAGGGGTGGAAGTCTCTAAACCACCTACGCCCAGAGGGCTGGCGGGATTTAAGATCCCGGGGACAATTCCAAGGCACCCTGAAACCTTCAAAAGAAAATCGAAGCCAGGCATATTCAGCCAGATGTGATTCGTGGGGGCACAAGGAGTCATCTGAATGAGTCTGTACGAAGTGTGTTGATCATGCATCTGCTCATCAGCGTAGCAGACTCCATGAAATCACAAGCCACAAGATGAATCCTGGAGACCTTACTGCAATTGGACTTGGCCTGAAGGGCTGAAGGGCCCACAAAGTTAAACATTCGAAATGCAGTTAACCAAATCCTGATCTGTGTTAGCATCGTCCTTAGAACTGAGTCTGCAACGAGCAATATTATTTAAGAAGGCCCAAACCATCCTCCACCACCTTCATCTTCTTCCCCGGGAGCTGTTGCACCTCCTTGGTCCGACGATCCACCCTGAGAGAGCTGCTGAAGAATGGATTCTTCTGAAGGTCCGTCGCTGCTGCCGGGAAAGCCAAGCGACCTCCATACACCATTGGGCGCAAGTCGCGTGGGTCGCACTGGCTGCTGAACACCATCGAGAACGGAAAGTCCACGTTGTGCCCCCCAGACGCGAGAGACTGCAGCGCCTTGATTTCTTCTAAGTAGAGCTTGCCTCGCGCATAGGTGAAGACGGGCAGGATTACTGCTGTGCAGTTGGACGCATTCTCATGGAGGCTCCAGTTCACAACAGTAGCCTGCTTATCCTGGATGTCCTGGCTCAGGGCACACGGGGCAGCCCAGTTGAGCAACGACAGCACTGGCACATCACCTGGGTTCACGCCCACCTTCTTCATAATCACCTCCCGCTTGAAGGCGATCACGTCTGCCACCACATCCTCCACCTTTTTTGACCACACAACCAGCTTCACACACGAGCCCAAGAAGGTCTGCGCAGCCTGTGCGCACTTGTTCTTCACCTCCAACCTGAACTCCTGTGAAAAGCGAGCTACAGGGAGAGTAGCGGCCCGTGACATGCGAATGGGACTGCCCCAGCAAAATGAAAGAAGAGAGGAGGTCCAAAGGAACAAACTAGTCCAGGGAAGTCTGTGCAGCTTGCGCACACGTTTTCGCCACCTCAAACTTGAAACCCTCAAGCTTGGCATGAACAATCCTGGGTGCGAGGGGGCAGGGGTGGGGCGGGGGGGGTAGTCTTGATTTCTGGTGTTTCACGATGTTGTGTGTTAGAGTTACATGTTCATTTGATCTGATAAATGAAAGATTTCCTCCTCCCTTCTCTCCTGATTCTTGGCGTGGGTGGCTGCGGGAGTGGATGGGTGGGTTCTGAAGTCATTGGAATGAGTTGAAAACGTCAATCCTGATCTTCTTGGTGGCATCCTTTGGCTTGATGTTAGTGGGGTTATACTGTATCTAGGTATTGTCTCCTTCATGTGTGCAGAATGGAAACGCTGTTTTGTAACGAAGCTTCTCACAGTGGGTGCGTGTGTATATGTGTACTCCTTCCTATTATTCCTTCTTCATTCTTTCTTGTAGAGTCCTATTAGCATGTTACAGGGCAGGGGTTTCACGGAGGCGAGGGGTCCGTACATTTTGTGGCACCAACACAATCCAGGGTGCTTTACAAACCAGCAATCGTGAAGACAAGTAGGCCAAAACAACCCAGTCTCCTGCTCCCGATGGTACCGGGCGCACACTACACCAGAACATTTTTTCATCCAATTCTCGTAGCAAGTCGTGTCATACTCCAACTGCTTGATCAAGAGGTGGAATTGATCGGAGTCCAGTGCCTGCTGGGCGTCTGTGGCCAGGCTGACTGGGGTGGAGAAGACATGTTCATCAACCAACTTCTTGAGCGTCGGCATGTGCATGGCAACGTCGAAAGTATCGCTCTTGTCCATGAGGGCCGCCTGGAGCTCGAAGTCCACGTGCTCCGAGCCCATGCGCCACTGCTCGATGAAGGCGTCCTTGATCTTCTGCTCCGGGATTGGCACTTGGAGCTGTAGCTCGGCTGCCATGGCAAGACACGCAGACGCGCGTTCTGCCAAGGCTTCTGCGTTCGCAGGGGTCAACTTCCACCTGAGGTTGGGGTTGCTCATCTCATACGAATTCTGCGCACGCTCCACCATGAGCAAGAAGGATTCTTCGCTTGTCTTGACACGGGCAGTCCACTTTTTTGACTTGCTTGCAAACTGGTGGTTCGGGTAGATTTTTTTTGAAGCGAGGACGTCTTCAGTCCACACACAGGAGCCCCAGCCCATCGATCCCACATGTTCGAGGATGCTCTCGAGGCCAGCACGGGGCGCCACTTCAAACAGAAGCTTGAGGGCGACAGCACGCTTGCCCACCAGCTGGTGCTGCTTGGTGGTCATGGCATTCCACCTGCCAGGGTCAAAAAAAACAATTGCCAAGTTCAGCTAACAACGTCCAAATAAACACAGACCAAGAGATCCAATGCTCTGAAGGGCCACTTGGACGCCACTACGGTGGCCCCAAATTGGGCCGGCAACCGTCTTCGACACAAACACTAGCCCATCCCAAATTGACATACACAATTATACAAGTACGGGGTTGGTGGCCCTTCGGGTTCCCTCTCGCTACCCAAAAGGCCATATGGGACTCTACTTTGATTAAGGAATCACACACGCACGCACATGTCTCACACATGACACACCCGCATGGCACACACAAAGCACAAAACAATTAGCCTGGCAAAGGACCCAGTCATCTGCAAGTGTGAGTACCGCAGGCAAGTGGGTGGGACGACGGAGGTGGGGACTCCCTATGGGGCCACGAAGCGTGAGGGGTGCGCTGAAATGTGTGGCGCAGACGCATGTGAACTGCACCACTGGGGCCTTCGGTGGAGCTCCCTATGGGGCCACGAAGCGCTGTACTGTGTGTGTGGGTGTGTGGGTGTGGGTGTGTGTGTGTGTGTGTGGTGGTGGTGGTGGTGGTGGTGGTGGTGGAGGTGGTGGTGGTGGTGGTGGTGGTGGTGGTGGTGGTGGTTGGTGGTGGTGATGGTGGTGGTGGTGGTTTCGGTGGTGGTGTGGAGGGAGGGGTGGGGTGGGGGGTTGGGGGGACGCATGCGAACTGCGCCGCTGGAATCTTTGGTGGAGCTCCCTACGGGGCCACGAAACGTTGAATTGTGTGGGGGAGACGCATGCGGACTGCACCATGGGCGGCCTAGATGAAGCTCCCTATGGGGACACATGCGAACTGCGCCACTGGGGCCTTCGGTGAAGCTCCCTGTGGGGCCACGAAACGCTGTGCTGGGTTGGGGGAGACGCATGCAAACTGCGCCACCGGGGCCTTCGGTGGAGCTCCCTTTGGGCCAGGAAGTCTTGCACTGGAAGGGGGAGACGCATTCGAACCCCAGGCGCAGTTCGCATGTGTCTCCCCCTATCCAGCACAGCGTTTCGTTGCCCCGTAGGGAGCTCCACCGAAGGTCCCAGTGGGGCAATTCGCATGCGTCGCCCCCAACCCAGTACAGCGCCTCGTGGCCCCATCGGGAGTTCCACTGAAGGCCCCAGTGGCGCAGTTCGCATGCGTCTCCCGTACCTGGTACAGCGCTTCGTGGCCCCAGAAGGGAGCGCAGTTCGCATGTGCCTCCCCACCCACACACGCACATAATCACACCAGCCCTTTAGGGCGTAGGTGGTCTAGAGCGTTTCCTCTGTCACCCCCCTTCTTTCCCCACCCCTCCCCACCGACCTGGACGAGGGGTTCCGCAGGTCATTGTACATCCAAGATGGCCCAAGACGGCTCCAAGAGCGTAAAAACGAAAAAGCACAAAACATTGATTTTCCATAGGTTTTGGAAGGATTTTGGCCCCTTGGGGAGGCCCAAGATGCGATTCGAGGCACTCTAGAGGGGCAGGGCTAATATACGACCCCCCCTTCTTTGATAGATCTCCTCCAAGGTGGCCCCAAGAGCGTCCCGAAGGCTCCCAAAAGCGCCCCAAGAGGGCCCCAAGAGGCCCCAAGAGGCCCCCAAGATGCCTTCAAGAAGCTCCCAAGAGACCCCCAAGAGGCCCCAAGAGGCTCCCAAGATGGCCCAAGCCGGCTCTAAGAGCGAAAAAGCGAAAAAGCACAAAACATGGATTTTCCTTAGGTTTTGGAAGGATTTTGGCCTCAATAAATTCCCAAGAGGCGATTCGAGGCACCCTAGAGGGGCAGCGTTAATATACGACCCCCCCTTCTTTGATAGATCTCCTCCAAGATGGCCCCAAGAGCGCCCCGAAGGCTCCCCAGAGCGCCCCAAGAGCGCCCCAAGAGGACCCCAAGAGGCCCCAAGAGACCGCCAAGAGGCCTCCAAGAGGCTCCCAAGAGGCCCCCAAGAGGCCCTAAGAGGCTCCCAAGATGGCCCAAGACGGCTCCAAGGGCGAAAAAGCGAAAAAGCACAAAACATTGATTTTCATCAGGTTTTGGAAGGATTTTGGCCTCAAGAAGGGCCTCAGAGGCGATTCGAGGCACTCTAGAGGGGCAGCGCTAATATACGACCCCCCCTTCTTTGATAGATCTCCTCCAACATGGCCCCAAGAGCGCCCCGAAGGCTCCCAAGAGCGCCCCAAGAGCGCCCCAAGAGGGCCCCAAGCCCCAAGAGGCCCCCAAGAGGCCTCCAAGATGCCCCAAGAGACCCCCAAGAGGCCACAAGAGGCTACCCGATATACGCAAGAGGCCCCCAGGACGGCCAAGAGGCCCCAAAGACGGCCCAAGGGGCCCCCAAGCTCGCCATTGACCTCCTCCTCCTCCTCTTTATCTTCCTCCCTCCTCCCCCTCCCCCTCCCCCTCCTCCTCCTCATCCTCATCCTCCTCCTTGTCCTTTTCCTCCTTCTCGTCCTCCTCGTCCTCGCAGTCCTCCATCTCCTCCTCATCTTCCTCCTTCTCCTCCTCCTGCTCCTGCTCCTCGTCCTGCTCCTCCTCTTCTTCCTACTCCAACGACGACGGCTCCTCCTACATCCTTCCCCTCTTGGGGCATATGGCGGCTCACCCCGCCTGTTGTTCTTCTGCATGCTCTCCCGCTTCCCTGATAACCTCCACTCCCCTGGGACTCATTTCTGGACGGGCTGGTGGGGATACGCGAAGCGTCTAGAATTCATACATGATTAAAGCATACTCAAACCATAAGCAACACATGGTTGATCCATCGTGAGGGAAGAAGTTGTACATATGTCAGACGTAAGTAAGACATGCTTCACACATAATTAAAACACACGTAATACATACACATCACATAGATACGATATATTTAGTACATAATCAATACACACTCCAGGCATTCTCAATCCATAATGAAGACATCCCTAGGACACAGATACTACATAACTCCTACACACTTTGGGCATACCGAATACATAGTTAATACGCACGTAAGACATGATGCATACATACTTCAGACACAATCAAGACATACTCCAGACACACCTAAGACATACTTAAGGCATGGTTCACACATAACTCATGTATAATTTAGATAGGTGTAGGTAGTAGGTCAACATACACAAGGCACAACATGCAAACGATTTGTCATGTGTTGGGTCACATAGCTTATACAAAATAGCATTGCATGCCATACAGAGGTGATGTGAGCTGGTACCTCATGAGTGCAGCGCGTAGCTTACACCACGTTGCGCACACCGGATACGTTGGACCACATACATTGTATCATGTGGCATGCATCCTACATATTGCGCCACAAGTTTAGACTTCACGCTGAGCCACTTGACTTGCATGTTCATTCTCTTTCATTTAAGTATCATCAAAGCCTGAACTTTTGGATAACTATACACAGTGCGTATCCCCCCATCCATGCTGTGGGGGGTGGCGTTTTCGTAGACCCCAGCCCCTCCAGCCTGCTAGAATTCTCGGCAGGACAAGAAATAAGTAAATACAAATTAGATGTCATTCTACATTCTGAAGCAATCCGAAGATTTCAGTGAGGCATGCTGGGGCCCTGGGTCCAGTCTCAGGGCGACCGTACAAATTCAAAACACCTTCCACAGCTTCTCGTCAAGATAGCAACGCTGGGTCTGGACATGTCGAATTGTCCCAGGGGGCGCCCTCTGAACCTCGCCCTCTGAATTTCAGTGACCCCTGGGCTTCGCATGTCACCAAAATAAATGCCCCATTAACACGATTTCAAAGCTCCTACGTCTTGGCACCCCTATGGCACCTGCGCGCAAAGGACTGCAGGTCCCCGAAGCCCTGCTTGGAGAGGTTGTGAAGCATCACCACAGTCACCACTAGGTTGTTAGCTCGGCGAATGCTCCCCCTCGCACTGAGTTTCATATTGGCCAACGCCTCGTCTGCCTTCGTACTGTAGGTGACCTTCAGGACGTAAATCCTGCACACGGACTGCCAGAGGAGCGGGTGCACCTCCTTCAAGTCAATATTCTTGGAGTAGCAGTAGTGCAGGAGGGCCAAGAGCGCGAGGCTGCGAGCCTGCCCCTTGATGTACCCCAGAGAATGCGGAGCATGGGCAGTCGGGGCCGGCAGTGGAGGCTCAGGGCGAACTTGGAGCTCTTCAGGCTGTGAAACCAGGAGGGGTTCTCCAGAAGTCACGAAGCCATCTTTCAGGTAGTTCTCCCACAGCTGCCGGGTGACATCCTTGCCCGGCGCAGGCTTCATGCTGCAAGCCTGGATTGGGGGCAAATGGATTTGCGCGTTAACTCTCAAAGGGGGGTAGTAGGTTTGGCCAACAGCGTAGGGCCCATGATCATGGCCAAAAACAGCACCTAAGACTCACATCTCTGTCGTTCAAAACCCTTGAGACACATCAGGACGCTTCATTTTTTTGCCCCACGGCCGATTTCCCTAGTTCCTAGGAGGGCACAACCCCCATAGAGCCACCCAACAGCCCTTCCAAGCTCCGACATAGCCAAACTTAGGCCCTCAGAACGGCCACATGTGTGGCCAAACGGTCGCCGAAAACACAGACCCGCAGAGGTCCCCCTGTGGGTGCGCAGATTTGGCGGTCCTGGAGCGCCAGAGATGGCCAAATCGAGTCCCAAAAAGGCCCCAAGGCGTCCCCTCCAGATGGGGGGTTACTTACCTCGCAAAACGTGTTTTTGAAAACACAGAGTGCCTGGTGGAAGCCGAGCGAGGACACGTGGATGCAGAAGGCCACCTCCCCGCCCAAGTCAGACTCAGACACACCAGGCAAGGTCACATCATGGTTGTACAAGGTGTCATCGGACTCCGGGAACATGTCGCGAAGCCAATGGGTGAATGCCGCCTGGTCTTCCTTCGCAGGCATGGACTTCATCAGGTAGGCCTGCGGGTTGCCATACTGCTTGAAGATGTCTTGGAGGTCTGCCGACGTCTTGTCAATGAAATTGCACGGCACCTCCAGGCCCTGTGGGACCATTGGTTCTGCCCATCCTGCGACTGTGGAGGCGTGGTCATCCAGATCTTGATCTGCTTGATCTGGCATACCATCTGGTAGTTGAAAGGACATGGCTCGCACTCTTGCAAACCTTGGACAAATCACACGGACTCGATACCTCAATAATGGCTCACCGAAATCCCAAGGACAATGGATACATGCACTGGAAATGGATGGCTTACACCACGAGCATGCCATGAATTGCGCAAGCACTTATCACATGAACTCATGTAACTGGGGCTCTACGGATTGCGCTCAACAGCTCAACTGGGGGACCCGGGATTTCCAAAGGACCCAACAGGTGACATGAAGTCCAATCTTAGGATCTTTGCCAGCACAGCTGGCAGCAATGCACAGGCTCAACGACAGAAAGAGCAAGCACTGTTTGAAGGAATCAGCGACAGACCCTAAGTCACCCCAACTAGTTAACCCAAGAGGGCATTGCTATCTACAACTTTCTGGGGGTCTAGATGTCCAGATTTTCTGTGACCACCAGATCTTCGAAATTGGTGTAGGAAGTAAAGGGGAGGGGCAAACTGCAAGTTACTTCTGGCTGACACCAAGAGAAGCACATCTCAGGACACGCAGCTAAGTTTGGCACCGCGGGTCTACTGATAATGAGCAGAGCTGACAGAAGGCTGATTCTGTGACCCCGAACTTTGTGAACGGTTCAGCCACTCCTCTGCCTCCCTGGCCCTCCTAGCCCTACGTCTGGACTCGCGCTCATTATGCCTGTCCTTCAGTTTACGCAGCTGCATGCCTGCATCATCTCCAGGGGTCGGGATGAATTTGCAAGGCTTCGATGCTGTATTGACGCTGGGGGGTGGAGGAAAGACCGGAGGCTGTGGGCCAACGCTTGCAGTTGGAGGAACATTCGAAGGCGGTGGGCCGCAGCTCTTCTTTGGAGGCGCCCCAGGCCCAGGACCTACAAATCCTGGTGGAGGGAAAGGCGGGGGCCTAGGTACCTTCAGCGCTGCATATTTCTGACTCTTCGCATTTTTCTCCATGATAGCATTCAGCCGCATCGCAGATGCAAGTGTGTCCTCGACCTCCATGGCTGCAATTTCAGCTATTATCCTCGTCTCCTCGAAGTGATTCCACAAACGGGGATCCCTGGACTTCACAGCAGGCTGCGACTCCAGTGTCTCGAACTCCCTTGTCAAGTAGATCTTCATGGGCCTGGCTTTGGCGAGCGGGATGAGGACAGTCTCTGCCTCGGTAACTTCGGGATCAGCCTTGCAGCCAGCCTTGGACTGATCGCCCTGGGCATCTGCACCAGTCTGACCATAAGCATGCCACTCGCCGTTGATCTCTGCAGTGTTCTTGGAAACAGACCAGGCAGCACCCAGGCCACTCGAAGAAGCAGCCATCTTTCCATTGCCATAGTCAACCATGTTTGCTCCCCAACATGATTCTGAACCTGACCACTGCCAGCTGCTATCCCAGCCAAACCAATTGTCTGCATATCCAGACCGCCACCATGCGGTGTCAGAGGACCACATTATGACATCTTGTCAGGGACACAAGACTTTGAGCCAGAGTGGCGACACAGAAACACAAAGTTCAAACGCGTGGGGCTTGCATGGGATCCAGCACAAGTCGATGTCCTGAAAATCATAGCCGACATCCGCCGGTTTCCCAGGAATCCCGCGCAAGTCCTGTATGATCCAAGGATCCAGCACAAGTCAATGGTCTGGGGAGGGGGGGTGGACTTCCGCCGAGGGTGGCGCCCTACTGTAGAGATCCGCGGGATTCCCAGGAAGCCCGCGCATCTTGGCATGAGGAAAACAAGATCTGAGATCTGCCGCGAGGCCTGATTTGGGGATCGAGCAAATAATTTGCCCAGGTTGCTTGGATGGGCGGAGATGTGCCGGTTTCCCAGGAAACCAGCACAGCTAGCAATCTTGCCGACTTATGTGTTGGAGTGGTGCAACGTTTGAGGGGAAAGGTGGCCCAAAAGAGGTAGCATCATACATTTAATTTGGAAGGGTTGCTAGGCAAGTCGCTGTCTGTGCCGGTTTCACAGGAAACCAGCACAGTGTAGCAACCCTACCTAATAAATTTTTGCATGGTGATGAAAATCCAGCACAGCTAGCAACCCTACCGAATTAATTTTCGGTGTGGTGGTCTGAGACAGCTGAAAATCCAGCACAGCTAGCAACCCTGCCAAAATAAATTTCTCCGGTGGCCTCAGGTTGGGGCGCAAAAGTACTATCATTGATGTCCAAAGCTGCTCCAAGAGGTGGCCCTCCCCAATCGGCGAGCAAGACAGTTCCGAACAATATGCTATCACCAAGTGGCCCTTTTCTTCTTCCAGTGGCTGAGCTTGGCCATTCAATATGGGCAGAAGGCGCGATGGACTTCGCATCCACGCTTTTTTTTTGTTCACACGCCCTAGGAACACTATCTCTTGAAGAATCCTACGCTTGAATGGGCGCCAGCGCTGCTGGCGCCTACTCCATAGAGTAGCTGTGAGCTTCGCCCCCATGCACCAAGCACTCCATTCTTGCCAAGAGAGAGTTCTATGATTTCATGTCTGGCCATTTCGTTTGAACCTGAACCTGAAGATTTGCAAGACTGAGGCTGCTGGTGCAGGCTGCTGGGCCCCAATGGGCCCCGGAAACTTACAAAACTGGCCACATCACGCAACATAACAATGAGTTGGCATCAAAGCTTCTGCACAATGCGCATGTCATGAGTCTTAAAGAAGTTGCGATGGCCCGTTGCTGCCCAAGCGCGGCACTGCTTGCAGCCGCGAGGGAGCTCGTAGCGGCACTTACTGCAGCCATAACGGAAGCCTGCCGGGAGCTCCAAGGGAAAGGGATTGGGCACTCCATCAGGTAACCCAGGAGCCTCAGGACCCTCTGGGGCAGGCGCAGGGCCAGGGGCAGCAGCCTCTGGGGCCACAGCAGGGCCAGGGGCAGCAGCCTCTGGGGCCACAACACCATCCGCAGGAGCATCCACATTGGGCCTCTTGGCTGGCCTGCGAAGCACTGCGCCTGCTGGGCGCTTCATTGGTGCTGCAGCAGCAGGCGATGCCTTCGCGCCCACTGTAATCTCGCGCACGACCACACCAGCGGACCCATCCAGGATCAGGTTCGAGACTAATTGGTCAGCAGCGCCTGAAGAGGGCATCACATAGTCGAAAATGAAAGAGAGTTCAGGTGGCTCTGGAAGCCGGCATGCCTCACTGTCATCACACAACTTGGTCAGGTAGGACGTTGCCACCAGGAGGTTCCAAGGGTCCTTCTGCACCAGTGAAGCAGTCTTGCGGTATTCTTTGATGACTGTCTCTCCCAATGGGTTCAGCTTGCACGGCTTCAGATCGTCCTGCAATGGAAAAGGCGTAAGAGGTGGAAACGCAATGGTGGAGAGCATAAGGGTCGAGGGGGCCAGGGGGGTTGGGGGCGAGAGGGGGCGACAGCCCCCTTCCTCACAGAAGAGCCACCTGTGTAAACATCGCCTCGAGACCAAATCGAATGAAGGAATCGAGACCTGGGCTTGAGCCCAGAGCTATGACGCGAAAGCGCAGGGCAGCTTTGAAATAAAGCCCAGCGGCGCAGGATTTTTCCAAAGCCCCAGGACTGGACTGACAAAACTCAAAGTGGATGCAAATTTCGTCTAGGGCACCCTGACTGGGCGCAAGCTTGAAAGCACCCCCCCCAATCCTTCGAGAGCTTGAGAATCTGGGTCGCTGGGAGCATGAGGACTGGGTTCTGACTGTAATTCGGGCTGTGCATGTAAGTCTTGGTCAGCAAGATAACGTCGGAGCTCTCAGGGGGGAGGTTCTGCCAGTCTGGGTGCTGCACCTCAATTGCGCTCTCCTGGAAGCCAGCCTGGGTGAGAAGCGTTCTGTCCACAAGTCTCCACACATGTGCAGCATCCTCCTTTGACGTGCTCGCAACCTGTAATCTGAATATCCAAAGGGGCCAGGAAGTCCTTGAAGTTCCAGGTGCCGTCCAGAAGCTCTGAATACACATCTCGCCCCCCAGCATGAGGCATGTTGGACTTGATGAAGTCGACGAACTCCTGTGGGGACTCCAGGGTCGGCGCTGAACTCAACCGCGTTGCCAAGGTGCTGAAGCGCTGATCCTGGGGCTTGGCGCAAATTCTACACAACTGAACTAAAACCTCTGAGTTTTGACTCGCGAATCTTTTCGCCGGGTGCATTTTGAAGTTGGATCCACGCACCAGGCATCAGCGCTATTAAACCAAGCCACAAATTCATGAGGATAGGCATTGG